GTGAGTTTTAAGTTTGATAAATTAATAAAAACAGTAAATTCGGCAGAATTGAAGCAAAATTCCTTACCACTGCGTTGCTCATTTTTATAATAATGTATTATTGGTACATCTACAATACACAATAATATATTACCTTGAACTGGTGTTACGTTATACGATATCCTTATAAAACAAATTTCCCAGGAGACTGTCTAGCAATTACCTAGTATTTGACGGAGTGATAGAAAATCAGGAATGTGTTATATTAAATAGTCCCTAAGTTAGCTAAATTAGTTTGACTTTAAATCAAGCTCTTAGATGTTATTTTTAAAATTAAAAAACAAATCTAACCCCCACTAATTTACCTAGATCAGCTATGCAAGCATGTGCTTTTACATTTAAATTTTTACCTTATCGAATTCTACGAATCAAAACTAGATTCGTCTCAAGCAGTAGATTGTGTAATTCTGGTGGTAATCGTTTTCGTTTTAACGTTTGACGTTTCATTGTATTCTGCAAAACGTATCAGTATTGAATTTAAGCCGAGGTCTCCTTTATAGTAATATCTTATTTTAGATTACAATATACAACATAATAGAATTAAAAATATAAAGCAGTTGAAAAGTGATTTCCAACAGAGTCACCTATCACAGTGCAGGCTGCCTTACTATGATCTATGCAAATTTCACTTTAGTAGGTACTTACTATCATTTTTTTAATTTAATCTGAAACCTTTTTTACTGGTAACGAGGCAGACATGGTTCTCAAACTCATAGGTGAAAACTCATCAGAATTTATGAAAGTAGATATAGGTAGATCTTAAATGAAGGAAACCCACAGCATCCACTTATCAGAAGGGTGCTCGTTTGTCACACTACTAAAAAATAGTATCCTAAGCTCATTATATAATATTTATTTATATTTTAATATTGAAAACGATAAAAATTATATATTTACCAGGAATGGTAACAAATCGCGTCATTACATAATTGATGAGCGCAGTGTGTAGGCAAAAGACCTTGGCCATGACCAAGCCAAAGAGAAACACTTGCCGAAGCGTGACGCGCTCTATTCACAACTGGGGATCACCGATAACAATTATTTTATACATATTCAAGGGTTCAGTTATTGAATATTCAAAATTCTCGAACGAGCATTAAAATTTTTGGGAACTTTCGTCGCTTTGTTGAAAAAAGTCATATTTATAAAGTAAATTAATTAATCGTTTATATAGATATGAACGTTCAGCCTTCCATCCTTCATCCTTCTAGGCATTAGCAACAAAAAGCTTGATTTGTAATAAAACTACAAAATACAAGCAAAATGTTAGTTTTACCAATATTTAATTACTATTATACTATTACCAAATTCCTTAAATTTCGTTTCTTCAAAACAGTCTTCAGTTTTAATAAATAGAATAATAATTTTTTTGTAACGATATCAAACTAGTGAATTAGAATTCAAAAAGTGAGTTGACGTGAGGGCGGCAATGAATTCAAATAAACCAGAAGACCTTGACAGTGATACAATCTTGGATAATCGCTTTGTGAAATAACAACCGTATGGGTACGCACTCGTTTTCATGTTGTAATTATTTATATATATAGAGAGAGGAAGTTTTAAAATACAATATAACACAAAACTTACAGCAGATGAAGAGAAAAATATGTACAATAAAATTATTATTCTGTTCTGAATTTCGGATTTAACTTTCTAACAGTAGATTAGATTTCATTTATAATATTTTCAAAATTTATCTACACTGGACTGGAAAGGATACGGTATTAACGTCACTGGCAAGTATATCACTCACCTTCGATTTGCTCAATTTGCACTATGCTCAATGACCTCAATAATGTCTCCCAACGAATAGGTCTTAAAATGAATATGGACAAAACAAGGATCATGTGTAAAGTCCATGTAACATCTATGCCGGAAGTTGTCGGGAGCACTACGCTCGAAGTTGTCGACAGGTATGTTTATCAAAGAATTTGTCTTTGTGGTCCGACTATGTAAGTCCAACTTCGACCGAGAGGTCAAACGACGGATTCTACTAGGCTGGACAGCGTTCGGATGACTATAACACAACTTCTCGTCAGGTATACCTCGGTAGTGATGACTTATCCTATGTCCTTCACTGCTGACTATATGCGGAAGCTCAAAGTCGCTAAGCGAGCTAGGAGAAGGGTTTCCTCTGCGTGATAGACTTAGAAATGAGGATACATGCTCAGAACAACCAAGATAGTCCGGTTTAGTAAGCCGAAGTGGCAATGGGCAGGCCATATAGTTCGAAGAATCGACAATCGACGTGAAAGAAAGGTTCTCAAGTGGCAATCTCATACCGGTAAGCGAAGTGCTGGGCGGCCCCCACTAGATAGAGTGAGGAGCTGGTAAGACATGCAGGTAGTCGATGGGTGCAGGTTGGCTCAGGACCGTGCTTTGCTGCATTACTTAGGGGAGGCCTCTGTTCAACAGTGGACTTGTGAAGGGCTGTAATGCTGATGAAGATTTATCTACACGCTCACATCAATTAATCTTAAACTTGATATTTAAATATTTCGTTTTCAATGAAAATGTAATTACCTACCAATTTAATATTATTCTCCAAAGCTGTTAAACACAATGTAAACAAACTATTTCATAATTCTATAGTATAGCATAATTCGAAGTTCATATCAATTTGGTATCCGAGTTGGCCACAGCATCAGAACTAGATATTTTGGCAATATACGTTTGCGTATAGATCAAATATACTTGATGGTCTATAGTTTAACTTGATTTCATTAATCTAGTGCCTATTTTCAATTATTTATTTCTTTGTGAACTTACAAGCCCTCTATACATCCGTTCTAAATAAACCTCCATATAACTACTGGAGTCATAAATGGATAAGGGTATCTCAAGGACTTCCTATCACCTTTGTTTTATATTATTATCAACTGTATAATTAAGGTAATTTCCTCAAATTTCCATCTATATTCAGCCGATTTGCATTTAACCATAATTTCATTTCATTCACTTATATTAGCTTCGTTAACTTCATATTTAATTAGCAATCTTTATTTGTTTACAATATTCTTAATAAAAACAGCCCGATATTACGTAATACTTTAATTACAACAAACTAAAGAAGCGCTCGAAAAGTTTATGAAACTAATGTTACTAACTTGATTCTACTTGTTTGATTCTCGTGAGAGTAATTCTGATTTTTCTGATGCCGTTTTAGGCAGTAATTATTTTTTGTGAAAATTGTTCGGATCGATATTTTGTCCAGTGAAAAATGCCGGGAGAACTTGAAAAAGTGAATTTTTTCGTCAAGCTTTAATCTGTAGTAGATCAAGGTAAGTGAAATAAGTCATCACATAATAGCAGATTGTATAAAGACGTGTATAAGAGAATTTCACGTGGAGTGGATAATTTCACGCTGATTTCTCGCTGGGTCTGCATTCGAACTAGCATTGGATTCAGATGACCCTTATCTGATTAGGTTTGTTTCCAGTGGTGCGTAAGAAATAATATAATATAATAGTAAAACTTAAAACTTTGTGTAGAGATATTATGCCAAGCGTTTATTTAAAATACAAATAAACATGAACACATAAAACGTTAGTTTTCAAATTCCCGCACGTATAACCATGGCACCGTCACTACGTATATCGTGGCAAATACATACATACATACAATTCGCACATATTAATTAAACTTTGCGATATAAGTTAGTAGACAAACCTTTTTTTTCCCTTAAAATTATAAAAATATAACTATTGTTAAAAAGTAAAAGGTGCAAAAGTAATGAAACGGTGAATGTCTGACGTAAGTGCCTCTAAACCTATCTTTTATCCACTCAAGAAGGTCGGTCCCGAGTGCGATGAACATATTATAACATTATGTAAAACAATTGGGTGGCCATACCGAAGGTACTATTTATATTCATAATTAGGTACTATTTGTTAATTTTAACTAAAGCAGAACATTTTTGAATGTTTTCAATGACACTATTCTACTGAAAAAAAGAACGGATACAAAATTGAATAGTGTTTTATGATTTTCAATAAATTTCTTTAGGTTTGAACAATTTTTGTATGGTGGGTTTCCGAAATTCTATCGAGTATCGACACTGAGTAGTAATATTTTTAAAGGAGTATATAATATTGTTTAAAATTGCTATAGGCAAAGATTTGTATAGAAATATTCTCTTATTATTTTCTCTGCATTACAGGTTACCGATTTACAGATCTCCCTAGACCGCTTTGGCACGCTTTCGGCAGTCGGTTACATCACCCTGACGTCAAACTATCAAAAGAGGAAAGTTCTCTCTTATCTCGATAGAAAAATGAATATTTTATATTAATGGATTTTTATATAAATGCAATGACTAGAACATCGTGATAAACTTATTCAGTATATTGGAGTCAATACACTTCCAACCTTGCAATGCTCTTTACGACTCATGTCAGATAAAGACAGGCATAAAAACATTATAACTTTATAAGTGCGCAAAAACAAAACACTCTTCTTAGTCTTAAATTGAACCCCCTTAACTTGACTTTTAGAACGCGTTAAATACGTACATCGTCCATTTGCACTAAGGAAAGCTCCATATTTATTCCAAAACATCAATTTCAACGAGATTAAAATGTTTTCCCCACGGTTATTAATATCTTGGCGTTTTATAATCTCTTATATATTACTTACCCAAATTGTCTACAATAATTATTTGTAGACATTGAAAGTCCCAAATTTTCCTTTCTTATAAGTATATTTCCAAAACATGCCTGATCACACGCTTTAAGAATCAAATTACCTACGCTCTTTTTTCCCTAGTACAATTCAGCGAGAACTATTCAATAATTCTTTTTACAACAAAACTTCATGACATTTCCAATACAATTTGATCATATTAAAATGTCATAAGGTGACCCTGGTGTATGGCGTAGGATAAGTTGTATCGTAATAAAATGAAAACCGGGGCGCAAATCAATGGCTGTGATATCACTCATCATAAGTTATAGTCAAATTACGATGTATGGTTTCTTGTCGAAAACAGGTTGCGGATCATGCATCGATTTTCGAGTATCGCGAGCGGCGACAGACGCGACGGGAGCGAACGGCGTCGCTGCTACGACTGCCGCGCCACATCCTCGCCTCCGCCCCGCGGCGCTAGTTTGTTTTGCTGTATTTTCGTTGTTAATCATTCTCCTTGACCTTGTGCGACGTCGAGTGGTCCACTGCACACGACTGCGCACCCCTCACCCTGCCAACCGCCCGCGCTGCATCATACGTGCTAAATCTCAAAATTGTAACTGCATCTTACTCCGTTCGACTTTTTTATAGAATAAGAGTGACAAACGAGAACATAGTAAATAGATCTACATCTATCGTCGATTAGGAATCAAAATGCAGATGTGTTGTCACCCCTAAGTACTGAAATGAAATGCCTTGTTACCAGTAAAAATGGTCTCAGATTCTTTACACTCATCATACGAAACACAGCAGCATTAACTGCTACTTCACGTTGGTATTCTGTGATAGCGTAGTTCTTCCCCGATGAGCCGACCCAGTCTTGCTACAACCATAATTGCTGCAGCATGGCTCTACCACGTAAAAAATCATTCAAATTAATTTTTTCATATAGTAGATTTCCGCAAAGAAATACCTGATTCCATTACATAATTTTAATTTTTGCATGTTACCATGAACAAGCCACTTTAAATTTCTAATAATTAATCTCATATGCTTTTTTTGTAATTGATTCTGGTGTTTGCACAAAAACAAACATTTTTCCTAGGAAGGTACAGAATTATAGTAGCGATAACGAACCAAGTTATTTAAATTATGCCAATTGTATTATTTTTGTTTGTTGTCACTGTACAAAATAAACAGAACATGGCCTAATATACTTCCTTGAGGGAATCCATATTTTGTACATCCTACATTCTTCCTTAACAATTAATAACATTTTATAGAATGTATAATATGTAAACAACATACTAGGTATAATATACTCTCATTGTTTGTTCTGTCTGTCTCATTGGAAAAAAAATTGTTTTAAGCAAATTTAAAGCATTGGCGACACTTTGTTTTAAAAAGGATATGCTGCTCTAAAAGCGAGTACCGTCAAAGGTGTCAAAATGCGAGAGTTGCAAAGATCTAGTTTCACTATTGAAAAATAGGAAGAAATCGCATGGTGCTAAATCAGGGCGGTGCGGAACGGCTGGCAATAAGAGTTTATCGCAGTATTTTCTTCTTCAGTAAGTTTCGCCAACAATCAAATTGTTTTAATGCATTTGTAGTTAATTTTTTACGTTCAAAACCCATAGTAGGTTAAGATAAGATGATCTCGCACACTCAACCGGCATTGAGGGACTCTCAGGATGCCGAAATAGATAAAAAGCCAAATTATTCGGACCTAGCTCATTAAGTAACTGACTAGTGTTATGGCCTGCTGGCCGTATTTGTTCCAGTAGAGTACTGGTTAATCATGGTCCAATTTTTACGACAATTAAGGTAACGAGGACTGCATGAACGATCACTCCTGAGTGCAGACTCCTCGATATCGCCAAGCAACGTCTGTTGGTTTCTTTATGATTAACTTCTACGTGCTTTCTCTTTCCAAGAACTGCCGTCTGCTTCAATTGCATTTATTTCCCTAGGCACTATTCGATATTACTATATTTAGTAAATCATACTTTTATATATTTCCTTTATAAACTCTAATATCATATAAATTCTAATAGTCATATGTCGATATTCTTATACTTGTAATTTGAAATAAAATTCGTATTCAGAATTAATTTTCTTAGGGGAAAGGTGTCCGTATGACCGAAATGTCCGAACGAAAAGATATCCTTATTTAAACCAAAATGCCTTTGTCAAAAAGCTACAATTCTAGTTAGTTCTCAATGTGTAACGACTGTTTTTGTTTATTTATTTCTAATTTTTTGCGTGCTTGTACGATCGTTATACAAATTTTGTTATCAATATGAACTAACATTACTGTAAATAGAGATTTATTTTCGTCAATACAATGAAATGTTTCTCACATGAAAATGTGTCAAAAAAGTTTGATCAATCTTAATAATTTTTGTGGAAAACTTACGTTTGTTTAATATACTGATACTCGAAGACGCCTGAACCGATTTCGAAAGTAATTTATTTTTTTGTTTCAAAGGGTATGCTTCTCAGGTGGTCCCATATAAATTTGATCAAGGTCTTGAGTTATCTTTAATAACTTTATATTGAAGTCGGTTGTACAAAATTTTTAATTTTATCTCTTGTAAAAATATAAGTCTTCTATAGCCTATTTATATCATGTAAAAAAGGGAGGTTCTCAATACAACAAAATCCCAGAACATGTTCAAAGTTTGTCAATAAACAAGTTTAAAAGTTTTATTAAAGAAAAACTGTACAAAGAAGGTTATTATAATATCAAGAAATACATGAATGAAAATAAACCCTGGGAATAAAGTGATCGCCACCATGCTGGTTCTATGAAAATTCTTTAAAATTGTATAAACAAAATTATTGTTAAGTGAAATTATGTTTAAAAAAAAGTCCCGCTGGGTTTCTTGCTGGTTCTTCCCAGGACAGAGGTATTTTCCTAAGCAGTGGTAAATAAAATAATGACTTTCAATAAGTATTATGTAATAATCCATATTGAATAAAAAAGTTTTTTGTATTTGATTATGTTATGACCTTATAGGATAAAATTCATATAACCCTAGTCTGCTCTTATGGATTTCTACTGTCGCCCATTCATTGAATGTCTTGCAAATAATGTTGAGAATAATCTTTTAGAAGTAAATGTATTGTCAAATTATTTATCTATACATATAACTGAAATTTAAATATCTGTCTGTTATATCGAAATAGCTGCCTCAATGAGCTGAGGGAGTTATTTACATGCCACTATGTCATGAATAACCATTTTTCTTAATTTGTCTCTCGAGGTTAATCTTCGGAATGGCAGAACCGATTGTAATTAACCTTCACGAACGGATAGAGAACAAAGCCAGAAGTAATCTCGGCTAAATTTTGTCCGAAAATTTTATGCGATTTAAAAAAAAAACGAACAATTTTTTTAATTGTTATCTATATAATGCCACAACAATAGATTACCCAAGCGAAGCCGGGGTGGGTTGCAAAGGAGCCTAAATAATGTTTCATACAAAAACCATTCAAGAAATTATATATGGCGACGTGCATTTACGGAAACTAACAAACTTGTCATGTATTTGGTTGTTGTGAACATAAGGTAACGAAACCAATTACCCACTGTGATCAGAACTCAATTTTTGAACGATGAATTTATGGAACGGCTTAACATTAGTAAAATGTTGTCTATATATATAACATATTTGCACTGCAATACGCTTTGTTTCTAAAAATAAATTAAAAAGACCGTATGATTTCTCAACAATAAAAAATATAATTATTTAACTCTAAATTTATAATAATAATAATAATAATGAAATAATTAAGTTACGCTGGAATATTATACGATTATTTGAGGTCCCAAGAGAGGGGGAGGACATGGTAATCTTCGAGTCCGGCAACTTGTTCTATCACCGGGAGGGCGACCATCTGTCCCAAGGAGGTGTCGGATTTATTGTCCACAAGTCTCTCGTTAACAACGTTGTAAAGATTGAGAGTGTGTCGACGAGGGTTGCGTACCTTATACTCAGAATCACCAAACGGTATTCGATGAAGGTCATACAGGTTTACGCACCAACCTCGGCACATCCCGACGAGGAGGTGGAGGAAATGTATGAGGATATATCTAGACTCATGTATACCTCCAAAACCCACTATAGGGTGTTGATGGGAGACTTCAACGCAAAACTAGGCACTAGAGAGAACGATGACCTGAAGGTAGGTAAATTTGGAATAGGGCAACGGAACCCAAGGGGCCAGCAGCTGGCCGACTTCATAGAGAAAGAGGGACTCTTTATGATGAACTCTTTCTTCCAGAAGCGGCCCCACAGAAAGTGGACCTGGTCGAGCCCCGACGGTTCGACAAAAAATGAGATTGAATTAATAATGACGATCAGACGACAATTGTTCAGTGATGTCTCAGTGATCGCGAGGGTGAAAACGGGTAGCGACCACCGAATGGTTAGAGACACACTGAACCTAAACGTTAAGTTGGAGAGGTCTCGTCTAATAACGTCAACGCTCCGTCCCTCTCGTGCTCTAATCCAAAGTACCGAAACCTTTCACTTCGAGTTACAAAACCGTTTTCAGTGTCTAGAAGACTGCAATAAAGTGGAAGATATGAATGACAAGTTCGTGGAAACTGTCCATGCGGTCGGAGTTAAGTTTTGCAAGACCCGCCGCAGAAAAACACAAAACTCTCCGATCACATTCTATCTCATGGCTGTTAGACGGGAAACGAAGCTGCAGTCGTTAGTATATTTGACAGCATACAGGCAACTGAACAGACAGATTTCCAACTGCATGCGGCGAGACTTACGCAATTTTAATACTGCTCGTATTGAAGAAGCGATCGAGCGGAACCAGGGCTCCAAAGTCTGCCAGAAAGAGCCAACTGTCGAAGCTGAAGACCGAGTGTGGCACCGTCGTTTCCGGGACACCTGAGATTTTGAGTGAGATTGAGAAGTTCTATGGGCAGGTGTACACATCACCGTGGGAGCCACACGCAAGTGTGAGTAACGATCCAAAAGCAAGTCTTATCCGACACTATTCCGATGATATTCTGGACGTCAATCTGAGCGAGATTAGAATGGCTCTCCAGCACCTTAAAAACGGCAAGGCCCCAGGCAAGGATGGAATTACAGCGGAGCTTTTGAAAGCGGATGGAGAACCGGTACTTGAAGTCCTTCAGAGGCCCTTTAATTTCGTTCTTCATGGTGGCACTACACCGGAGGCGTGGAGCAGAAGTGCGGTGGTCTTGTTCTTCACTGACAACGCTCTCTCGAAGAACTACAGACCGATTTCCCTTCTGAGCCGCGACTACGTGCTGTATTCGAGAGTCATTACGAATCGTCTCGCATGCAGACTCGATAACTTCCAGCCTCCCGAACAAGTCGGTTTCCGAAAAGGCTTTAGCACCATAGATCACATACATACCCTTCGGCAAATTGTACAGAAATTCGAGGAGTACAATTTGCCAATATGTCTGGCGTATGTGGACTATGAATTTGATTAGTAGTTGTTGGGAGCCTGACGCTGGGAT